GGTACCAGGGACACAAGGACAAGGCGGTTAACAGTTAAAGTGACTTCTAGCAGACCCAAGCTCTGCTTTAGAGTCATGACACCAAGAGAGGACAGCTCAGGTGAAAAGGGACTGCACACACCAGTGATGCTCCCCAGGCCCAGCAATGGCAAAAACGTCACTTCAATCTCATGCTTTCACTCCTTCCATCTACAGGAGTACTGAGAGTACCTCAAACTAATTAATAAGCTGCTCTGTAACGTTGGGCATTACTTTCTTTTCCCCTTTTGATTCACATGCACATTATTTTTAGAAAACGAAAAAGGTTGCATTTAGGAAAAAAACCACCTGTGGCACTGCTTATCTGCTCATCACACGTTTGTGGGAACGGGGAGGAGGGGGAAGAAAACATAGGCTGCTCTCACCACTGTCACCTCCCTCAATCCAAAACCCCCCAGGTCCTCAATGAGAACCAGTTTCCTTTCTTCCTCCCCAAAAACCCTGTGGTTACATTCACAAATCCTGAGCTGGGCAGGCACTGTTAGGAGGCAGCTCATTTTTATGGGCCATCTGTAGGTGACATACACCTGGGCTAACAAACATGATGGCACTTATAACCTTATCATATAGGCACCATCGCATTCTTGGCTAAGGTGCTGAGCTCTTAGACAACTCTGCTCTTTTCAGGTCACTTGTTTTTGCCCATTTAAACTCCTGTTCTTTTCAGGGTTGAATTTAGTAAAGGTAGGAGCGTAAGACACTCATGCTTTTCTGCTTGGGCACTGTGCTTTGACACACTGAAGGATGCTGTCTTTCATTATTAACTTTGGCAGCATTTAAATTAAGCAATATCTTGACAGAAAAAAGGAGGTGGATGAAGAGCCCTGGGAATTTTTTTTTTTTTTTTTTTTTCCTGTTTAATTGTACTGCATTTGATGCATTCCAAAAACACTAGAAAAACTGCTCTCCAGAGACAAAAAAAAGTTTACACACACCCTCCCCACCCCCCAGCTGAGGTAGTTTGGCAGCACATAGAAGGATAGAAAACTATCATCTGTCCAGGGAAATCCACCCCCTGCTTCTCCCAGCCCTCTTTCAGCTGGTGCATGCAAGATGTTCCTGCTCACTTCATCCTCAAACATTTAAACACTTTGAGGACCACACACCTACAGTGCGTTATTTGCAAGGCTTCTAAGATGAGATCCAGTGTGCATGCATGTGTATCTGTGGGTGGGAATGGCTGGATAATGTTACCGTGATAGCTGATGATAATATTTCTAGCAATTGTTAAGCTTCTTAAGTCGCCACTTTGTGAATGCTTCAGTGTATCATTTTCTGAAAAATACAGCCTTCCTTGCCTATGGAAAGGTACTGGTCAATAACGTGCTTGTGCAAGATTATCTAGGAATCTTTGATTTATTCCAGAGGAAAAAAAAAGTCTCCCCTACACAAATGCACCTTTCTAAACACTTCAGGGGTCGCATGGTTCACTGCAGGATTGTGTCAGTACAGCCATAAAATAAGGCAGCAGCTCAAGCTGTCTTGGGCTAGCTGGGCAGCAGGTACAGCAGAAACACAGATGTGCGTAGCCTGAGCTGTTTGAAAGTGGCCGCTTGCTTTTCTGCTTTTGTTCCAAATAGACATCAGAAAGTGTGTAAGGGATGAAGAAGTGTGTGTTTCTCCAGTGTTTCAGGAAAAAGAATAGTGTGGGAGTAGAGATAATTTGATGAGTCAAATTCCTAATTCCCTTCAGACCTGTAAAATCAGTGGGAGTTGTTTCACTTTCATCCTAACATACAAAGATGGGTAAAGTTAGAACAAAGAAAGATGGGGAAAAATGAGCTTTTTTCATAGAAGCTCACATAAGAAAGACCAAAAACTCCAGTGGTCTTCTTGGTGCCAGGACAAAACCAAGAGCAATCTGCTACCCTGCATAGCATGTTATTTATCTGGGAGTGCTCATTCAGGCCCTGTTTTCTGAGTACTCTCCTTGTCTTTTTCCCCATTTCCTCCGCCACGGTGACTACACCAGGCTGTAGCTTGCCTTAAACAAAGCACAATGTCCTCTGGGACTTCCTTAAAAATGCCATTCAAGACCAACTTAAAGGCCAGCTTTTCTGGCTGCATCATGCTTATGTTTCACATTATTTATCAGTTCCTCCTCTTCTTCCACTGCATCGAGGCACAAAATTCTTGTTTTAACCCAAAGGCATTTTCAAGTCGAGCCACCCATAACCATTCCCTCCTCTCATTCATTTTTGTCCTGAGTTAAACCTGACTATCCACTTCTCCCTCAGGCAGTATTATTCTCAAAGCTTCCCAAACTCCATAAATTAACCATAGTTTCACCCATCAAAACAACCCACCACACTCTCATTCTTCCACGCGTAGAAACTCATTACAATGTCCATTACAATTACAAAATTGTGCACACAATAGCATTTGCTAACACATCCTTTTAATGCTTTCAGCTTTCCACGTTCTTCTCATATAAAATATCCTGCTTTCTTACTCCTTGGAGCCTGATCCAAAACCCAGCAAGGTACTGAAAATACTGATTTCCAAGGTTTCGTGGATCAAATACTTATCCCACCACTTCTTTCAAGACACGGATTCACTTATTACCATTCTGTTTAACTCAAATGTAGCCCCTGGCTTCCTCTGACTACGATTAAAATTCTCTGCAGTTTTGTTCCCCAAGCTCTGCCCAAGTGGTCTGGGAGCCCCAGGGCACAGGACTTCCTTTAAGACATCTGTGAGAATTCAGAAAAGTGAACCTATTGCTAGGGTGTTTAAATTTACCACTGAAAAGAAAAATCCTAAGGATTCACAATTCAAAACAGGATGAAAAAAAAAAAAAAAAAAAAAATCACTGTTGCATCTATTTGTAGATTGCCTGATACTAAAAGGTTCCAACTTCAATAAAACCACCTGGATTCTACTGTAAAATAAATAGTAATAATTATATCGTTGCTATCACCATGTTAGGCCCCAATACTCTCATCCTGAGAGCTCTCCTCGTTTGAAGGAGAGTTCTTTCTTCTAGAGAGCACTGAAGCTTATACAAAAAGTCAGCCTATGCACAAGAGGCAAAAGCCAGCACTAAGGAATAGCACTAAGCAATAACAATGAATCATGCATTTCATGCAGGAAGCAGAGATCTCTAGTTTTGTCTTTTGTGTGAACAGTTTCCCTTGTCCAGGTCCCCAAATTTGTAATTTTATTTATTTCAAAGTCTCATCCTCAGTCACAGCAAGCCCCCAGCTGACAGCCTCATTGTCCCCTTGGCTGTCATGGGAAGTCATGATAGATGGCTACACTGTGACCCTTTTAGACAGTCCATGTTCATATTATGCTCAGAGAATTTTTCATCGATAGTCAACGCAAACCCTTCCACTTGTGTATTTGTACAAACGTACAAAAATATTTACAATACTTGTGGATGCACATAAGTGGCCAAAGCAAATCTACGTTGATAGGTTTCAGCATTTTGGAACTCAAAGCAGAGGTATCTCATGAGTAAATGCAGTCATTTGTAGCATATGTAATTCTTATTTAATATTTCAGTCGAAGTACAGCCAGAATACTTTCCACTGTGGGGAGCAGAGACTTGAAATAACTAGTTTTTGATACTAGCCATATTGCACTTCACTTTTCCTCAGCACAGAATGCCAGCTTGTTTCTTCAAATTAAGACAATATGCTTATAGTGATGAACCTTATTGGCCATCTATCTTCCTTTTGTAATCTGGCTCTCATCAAGCTGAAATGAAGCCATTTCTTCTGACTGTGGCTGATTAAACACAGAGTAAACCTAGATCTCTGAGGAGGCTCTAATGATTCTCCACAGGCCTAGTGTCAGCCCAGCACCTGCAGCATTCAGCTTCCCCATTTCCATCATAAAATGAAGCATCTGTTACAGAGAAGTGTTATCTTTTTATCATGGACGGTATCTTTCTGTTTGAATTCACCTACCCCATTTGGTATAAATTACAGCCACTTCATACGTAATGAATGGTCACACAGGATGCACTCTGGTTATTGGGGGTTAAAAGGGCACAAAATCCTTTACTAAGCCTTTATTTAACTTGGTGAAAGTTAAGACTACATGGCTTGTGTAAAACCTTCTTTCTTACAACAAACAGGAGGAAATACTTATCACAGCTTAATGCTGAAGCATTTTGATATTGCTTATCTAAATACTGGCCTTTGAATTTTTTTGGAGGCGATTTCTGTGGCAACATTATTAGTTGCAGAGAAAAGAAACAGAGAAACACATTCACACCAAAGACATTTCTGTTTCGGCAACTTGATTACCTGCAAGTCTAAAATGTAAAAGTAGCGAAGATTTGTTTGCAAGAAAGGACAGTTGCCAACTTAGAACCTGCTGTAAATCCCACAGAAGTCAGTTGGCATATTTTCAATGATTTCAACAGCATTTGCTTGGATCAGGCCAAAGATCAGCTAGCTGTTTGCATTTGTGTGGTCCACGTGCTCCTCTACATTTTACCTTCTTTTTTTCCATTTAAGCTTAGAAATGCAACTTTGTCTCAGAAACAGCTTTTCTACTGATGAGGTCTTCAGGCTTTGTTTGCCAGAAATTTCATTGTCACCCACCTAAAACATGGATAGACTGGACAACTTCACATCTCAAAAAATAAAACTTCCAAATAACCCAATTCAGAAGAACTTTGCTCATCTGCTCTTCAAGTACTAGGGAAACCAAACAGTTACAAAACTGCAACCAAGCACCTATTAACACATAGCTACAAGAACTTCTGGAGGTGAAGGCAACAACTGCACGGTGTTCGTGGCCAATGAATTTCATAGAGGCTGTTTAACAGCCATTTTTATAACATCTGAAAATCACAGGTGAGAGGCAGCCTTCTGTACCACTGTAATACTATACTGTGATGGAAAGTACAGCAATAACAGTGGAGTGGCACAACCCTAGGCTGCAGCAAATCAGAACAAGCCCAAATGTGACAACTGCGGACACACAAACAAAGAAAAACTGTTTACCTTTAGAAGGCCTCAGTTATGCGGGGATCTCCAGCAAGGTCCCCTCACCTCCACTGCCAGCCCTTAAATGAGGGCTGGGAAGGGGTGGATCCTGGCTCCACTGCATGCACCTGAGCTCCCCTGGGTTGGCCCTGCCTTCCCACCAGGTGCTCAATCACTGCTTCAGGCCATGACTTGCATTTCTGCTACACCTTCCATGTTCAATGCTGTAAATATGAAGCCTTGAATGAACAGCATAGAGATACCTTAAAGTAGCTAGCTTGGATATTTGTATGAGACTGACCAGAGGAGAGCAGAGATCAGCACCACCTATTTCTTGGCAAATTCTCAGGGTGTTGAGTCACTGAGGTGTTAAACCAGGATAGCAAAAGCAGTTGCAGTCCAAAGCATTTCATATCACTCATCATCATAAGCCATGCTCTGAACAGGACACGTCCCCACTCCAGTCACTGTGATTTACAGCACAGCACTAATAATGTTTTAACTATCAGTTAGCCTTGAAGTGATTAAGTAGTGATCTTTCTAGGCCCCTTCCAACTGAACTACTCTATTCTATAGTCCAAATATTCCCCCACATGACCCTTTTTTTTTTTTTTTTTTTTTTTAAAGTTTCTCTTGTATGATGGCCACCTCATCAGGTCCACCTCAGATTTCTTTTCCTCGTGTTTATTAACAGGTATAGAAAATGGACACAAAGCAGTAAATTGAGGTTCTACTGAATTATATGTTTGGATGATCAAAAAGGAAATTATAATCTAAAAACTTCTTCGGTGGATTTTTTTGCCTGCTTAGTTTTCATTGCACATCACACCTAAATTCAATTGCATGAAAGTAATTTAAAACTGTATGTTATTATCAGGTTTAAAGTTTCAAGTACCTGAAGAACCTATTATCTAGAGAGGGAAGGGGGAGCAGCTTTTAGTGGAGCTACTGGGAAAAAAATCCTTATGAAAATAAGGAAAAGTGAACAATTTTGTACCAACATGCATTTTCCTGATCATTCTGCAAGCCTGCATTATGTGGCCACTTTCTGCTGATCCATTCTGTAGCAAGCAAAATCATATTGTCCTATCACAAGAGCACACTTGTTATTCAAAATAATTAGGACATGAGTCATCTTAGTACCATAGTTGGCATTAGTGATATATGGGGCTGATGACTGATGAGTCCAATGAACGTTTGACTCGTGTAGACTTAAAGTATGCAGCTGAGAAGCCCAGTTAATTCAGAAGAGACACAGCATAGCAGCGATAGCATCTTGTAAAAGCAAGATCCAAGACAAGTAGAAATGCAGCAACACTAGTGATGAAAACAACTGAGGTCTTCAGATTTCGCAGAGTAGCTGAAAAAATGGAAGCACTTCTACACACAAAAAAGTAAAAACTCAGATGTTTTCTACTTGAAACGTTCAAAGATTAATAAGTTGGTTTTTTCTACTGTTTACACGTTGTTTGCAGGTGATGGAGTTGTTTTTGTTCCCTGTCCACTTTCTCCCATTTTTTCTTTTTGTTACTTTGGTTGAATAAGTGAATCATATCCAAAATTTCAGTTTGGTTTGGAAAAGTTGTAACAGCAGAACGAAAAATGAAACTAGCTCAACCACTTTAGAGAGTTTCAATTTTCCTTTGTTCCCTTCTGTAACTTATCCAGAATTAGAGATCTGGAAGAGTTCATCCAAAAACCAGGGGGAAAAAAAAAAAAAAAAAAAGGATGGGGACTGCAAAGGAAAGGAAAACGATGAAAAAAATCCAAACTTTTTTCCTCAAAGAACATAGAGACAAGAAAAATGAAAAGGTTTACTATTTATTTTAAGCAAAATAGAAATATGAAGACTGGAAAAGTATACTTGAATTTACTTTTTTTTTCTTAAGGGTATCAAACATTTCTGCAACTGACCAATAAATTTAACATGTGACAACATCTGTATTTAGCCAAGTTCGTTGCTGCATTTCAGACATAAGGAAGGTTTCCAATGCTTGAAAACTGTCTGTTTTTTCCTACCCTATTATGGTATCTAACAAAAAACACTGCACCAAACAAGCTCCTACTTAGTTTAAAAGTAGTAGTGTTTCAAATCAAATATGCTTTAGGACAACATCAAGGTTGAAATCTGCATCAGACGCAATTCATTTTGAATGCCACCTTTTGTAAGCCCTTCCAGTTGGTATTCTAGTCAGAAAGGTGCCCAAAAAATCAACTGTCTTCAAATCTGCTTCATGTAGTGGTGAAACTAATAAGTACTTGTCTTTCAGCAGCTGGACACCCTGAGGGCAAGAGGAAAGCAATCAGAGCCAGAGACTCCAGTTAGTGTTTTCTTCCTCCATGGGGCAACTTTGGGTGAAGCACAGATGTTCCCTACATCAGTATTAAATCCACATTTTGACTGCAAGTTGAATCAACAGGCTATAGAGCAGTGGAGACCATTAAGAACTACACGCTAATGGCGACTAAAAGTTGAAGGACCTCATTTCTGAGATGAAACTAGTCATCCAAAATTAGTCAAAAATAAATATTTAAAAGCTAGGAGACAAAGACATGATTATTTCCCCTGCAGTTCCACACACTGAAGCATCTAATCTCAAATTTAACATTAAATGATTTGAAATCTCTCCGATGTTTTTAACTAGGCATGAAGTAGTACAGTGCCCTCCTAGAAAAAAAAAATCTGATTTGGTAGCTTTCTGTTTTTGCTTTTTTTTTTTTTTTTTTTTTTTTTTAAATAGTCACTCTCAAGATTTAAACTCCAATTGGGACACAATGGTTCTCATGATCAGTATCTTCACGCAGCGAGATGCTTTCTTCATTGATGCCAACTCCATAATACATATAGACCATGTAAAATGGTGCCAGAAGAGGCTCCATTAATGGACTAACGCACTCGATGGTTTTCCAAGCCATTAAGCCATTTTACAGCTGTGCTGGGGGAAAGAGCAGAAAAAAAATCCACAGCTACAATGAAATATCAGGCGTGTATCAACTTACACAGTTCTGAAGAACAATACGTGAAAAATGTTGTGATCGCCACAGATGAAAGAACTTGGAGGTGAAATTGGTCTCTCACAGCAATATCAGTTCGCATCATCAACAACAATGTATCTGGACAATGTGCCAGTGTCATTGACTTCCACCATTTTAAAGGCCTTTAATACTGATTGCTGCACAGTCCACAAAAGCTTTTCTTGTGAGAACTCTGAAAAGGTTGATTATATGTACATTACAGCTGAAAATGGATCAGACAAGTAGTAAGTTATGAAAGTACGAACACAAGAGAATAAAACCATTCACTGTGCTTGAATTACTTTAGTTTATCTTCTTAGGCTGAATTGTGGCTGTGGTCTTTTGCAACTCAAATAAAAAGCATAGATCAAGATGAGATAAAGATAACTGAGTATTGCCCAGCATTAGGCAATAAAATCAGTAGCAGGAATGGAAAACTTTGATACTACATAGAAAAAAGTTACAGTAACACAGGCAAAAATCCTTTGTAGCTACAAGTCAAGAAAATTAGGCACTAAAACAACAAGACAGGCCTGTGCTCTTGCACATCTTTATGAAGATGTTTGAAACTGAAATTACTTTGGCCAGCTGAAGGGGACTGTGTGACATTCCACTTAAACATGGTTTGGATGCTTCCAAGACATGAGGGCTGACAACTTTCATATTATGGCCCATACAGGGGAGAAAACTTCATTCCAAATCTAAAGTCCTGCATTACACTGGGAAGAAAAATACCTCAAAAAACACTTCTCAGAAAATTCTTCCCGTGTGCTTTAGAGACGTGTTTCCCTACATACCTTCGAAACAAAATTAAGTTTTCATTATTTTTCTGCTTATTTTAGCACGAAAGAGCCAAGACAGCCACCACTGGAAGGAAGGGAAAGTCACAATTTGTATTGCTAGCAATGCACACCTCAGGAGGAACTGAGCATGGTCTGCAAGTCAAAGAAGAGTTTACAGACTGAGCAGTCAGGAAAAAAAAAAAAATTCAAATGCTGCATCTTTGCTCTCTAAGATACAATAAATACTATGGAAGCTTCAGTGTTACCCTGTGAAACAAAGCTTGTACTTTTTAGAACAAAATATCCTAAATTAAATTCTAGTCACTACATTAAGGGGTCAGTTCCAAAAGATGAAAGTACATTCCATAGCAGAGTTAAAGGATAATAGAAACAAACAAACAAAAAAACTACAACACACGCTAGCATTATTGAAAAAGAGCATGAGTTGTTACATCCATGAAATGTTAGATTTTCCGCTATTCACAAGGCTCTGCATTCTTAATATCTGTAAAGAACGGTCATCTCAATTGCTAAAATATAACCAAATGCTCAAGCCACAGCTAAAATTCTCCAAAGCAGCCACATCCAGCTGATTCTGCCACTTAGCGCTTCTCCTGTAACACCAGCAGTGTAACCTTAGTCCCTAAAAATTGGAGGGCACATTACACAGCCGACCTTGGTCTGATCTGGCTCTGGGACAGGCAGCTGTGCAATCTTAGGGCTGAGAGACACAAGGAAATGGTGGGGCTTGGAAAGGTGCAAGCATCCCCAGATGGAGAGGAAAGCAGTCAGAGCCAAGCAGTAACCTCTTCTTGGGGCTGGCAGTCTCCTAAAGCAGCAGGGTCACACATCGTATAGACACCAGGTAACCTTGTATCAAATGCTGCAGGATATGTAAAAAGCTTTGAGCTTTTCCCCCAACATGTCACAGGCACACATACTCCTACGTGCAGATATGCAGACACACATGTAACAACTGCCTTCTCCAATACAGACAAAAGTTTGCTAATTGATGTTTGTTAAAATTAATCTTTTGCCAGTTAGAATTAGTCACACATGAAGCATCATGAGCTTCAAGTAGGCTGTCTTAATTAAAGTTTTATCTGTCACTTAATGGAAGAATTATCATCAATTTTGAGCACTGTTTTTCATTCAGAAAACAGCAGTGTTGTATCATTTTGTGTGTTCCTGTATATAAATCCAAGTTTCTGATTTCAGATGGAGGCTGGTTTGCTTTGCAAAGTGCTTGCTGCTTTGCAGCCTATCTCAGCCACACTCTCACCCCATGTAGCATAGGTGTGTGCAAACAGGTGAACCCACAAAAAAAAAAAAAAAAGGAAGCTGCACATTCAGATACTTTCATGCAATGAAATACCAGTTGCATGGCTTTGCCTTCACATATTTCAGACTTTTTCTCTTGCAAATAATTGTACCAGTGCTGCTTCTTGGGACAGTTTTTGAGCCAAAAAAAAATGTTCAGCAATGCCAGTTTCTCTAAAGCATGCTCTATTGTCCATAAGCTAATCCAGAAAAATAGCACTAACGAGGATGGAATTAAATCTGGAGTCATTCAGGAGCAGCTGAGATCCACATCTTCCCAATCAGTAACATTTTGTACCATATTGCAAAATTTCTTGTTAGAACACAAATGCTCTTTTTATTACAAGTGCTTAAATGAGTTGTTAGTGACGTCTTCACAGAGAGAGCTGAAGAATTTGTTTGTACTTTACAAAGAACCTCTTCCTCTATTCAAAGCCACCAGTTGTTTTAATTTAAACTAATATTAAAAGCTTCTTGCCCAGAGTCTGGGGCTGGCTGTGCCACTATACAGCCAGCTCTTTATCAGTGTAACAGAGCAGTAGCATTAAGATCATGCACTCAAGCAATACGTATCCTTAAGTTACTTCCCTCAGTTTGCTAGAATTAATCCGGATTTACACGTCACTCATCTACACAGGACAGCTAGTGCCCAATTTCTTCACGCAGAACTGTGGAGCTGATTCAAATAGCAAAGACAAGGAGCTCTGTGTTTATTAACAGAAAAGAATGGATTGGTAAATCAAAAACTCCCTTTGTCTGAACCACTGCAGATTCAGGGGGCTGAACCAAGTGACAACACGTCCCAGAAATTGCATCGTCATCGATACAGCAGCATAAATCAGGAATGCTCTGGTGGCTTTTCTGGGCAGTTTTTTTTTTCCTGTTAAAGAACACAGAGCAGCCAATCGCTCTCTTGTGCTATGCTGACGTCAGTAAACACAGAAATCTATGGAGTTCTCTTTAAAGTATTTTGGCTACATGCAGTGGAGCTTTAATAGGATGAGTCCCTTCCTGACAGGTCACAGTATGCTGGCTAAATTTGCTTACGCTTTATGATTTCAAAGGCTTCTATTCCCATTTTTGAGAAGATTTCCCCCCCCCTCCCTTTTTTTTTCTTGTTTTTAATAACCACAGCAATGATCAAAGTGCTTTTAAAACATGCTACTCATGACTACTTTGAGCTTAAAAAAAGAAAAAGCAGAAATCTAGAGTGATTCCAAACAGCGTTTCATTTCAATTTAAGGAAGGAATAAATTTTGCATTTTAACTTCCACCATTCAACCACTGGAGGTAAAGAACAGTTTGTTAAATTATTTACTGACACCTATCAAGCTGAAGTTTAAAGTCAAAAATCAATCAGCAGTTCAAGACTTTAGATCAGCACAGGGGTGTTGGAGACCATGCAGAATTAAGCCAAGATGCAAGTGAACAGATCTTTCATCTATAATATTTTATTCAAGTTTTGGAACATATGAAAAAAAAAAATAAGGACAGGTCAGTGCAAAAGAGATGGAGCACAAAGTGTCCATCTGCCACTTTCAAAGAACATGTGGAGTATGTAAAACTAAATGCAGCCACGTGCAGGAATTCAGCTGATGAGCACTTCAGTGCCCACACCACGTTTATATTTTTATGGTATTATCTAAAATACCCACTCAATGAAAACTGCTGGTTTACCTTGGAAAGGAAAGCCAAGCTGCTCCCTGCCAGGATTTAAGCACACTTTTCTTGGGTAGTGTATGTTTTCCATGCTTTATGCTAGGCTACCAAACTCCCTACACCAGCACTTATTACACAGTCCAGTTCCCCCCTCCCCAGAAGAAGAAAACAGATTTTTGTTCATTCCAACACTTTTTATGAAATATACGGCTTCTCTAAGGGACCAGTTCCAGTTTATAAGCAGGCAGTATATAACAACATAACACTCTGGGCACAGCAACTGCAAAGGTACACTCATCACATATGAATGATTGTTAGCAGAAAGCATTGCCATTTCTTTGCTATCCTTGGAAAAAGGAGAGGAAAAACTACATTAACTGCTGGGGCAGAGAGGAAAGGGACACTCCAGTTCGCGCCATTGATTCTCTGCAGTGCAGAGGCTGAGAAGTTAATGCATTCTGCTTCTCTTCAATGCCAGCTTTCCCTTGCCTTATTCATACAATTTAACTCCGGCTGTCTCCTACTCATCCCTCCTGCTTTGCCTCCCGCTTTCTCAAAAGGCACTTCTCTGCACGGCACATCAGAAACTAAAAATCTAAGTTGCTATCTTACTTCCAAACCGAGCTGTTGTCAGCATTAAACCTACACAATGCATTACAATATAATCCATTTACAGGGTGTCTTATCATGCAAATAACTCAAGGTGCCTCACAATAAAATAAAAAGGACGAGAGGAATAAACCTTGGCCATTGGAACACACAAAAAAGGAAACCTTGAAATTTACTTTTAAACACACTAATGGCTCTTTTCTCCCAGTGAGGCTTGAAGAAGGACAGGGGAGAGGATTTCACCAAGGAATTCCTATTAGCATTTGATGGGAGTTAAATGTGCAAATCCAGCCCGAGATCACTGGGGGACTAGGCTTCTTAAAAAGGGAAGCTTCCCTGAGATCTTGAGAAGATTCATAAGGCACGAGCATTAGAGAAAAGCTTGGTCACCAGAACAAGGCCTTAATGAACTGGCTCAGGGGCAGAGCTGTAAAAGCTCCTTGCAACATAGACGCAGAAACACTGTTTAAAAGTAACTGGCCATAGCTCATTTCTGACTCATTTCCAAAAAGGGTCCTGGTTTCAATTAGTGTTTCATTATTAGCATAGAA